GTGGTGTGTTTTCCCTTCCCAGGACATAATTCTAAGTCATAACTCCTTTAATTCCAAAATGGTAAACCTGTAGAGGGAACACAGTTAGTTTAAGTGCTAGTTAAGGACTACAACAAAATATCTGACCCTCAATTTAGGATAATTAACTGCCCAAGAAGCAGCCAACTGTTTATTTTTTAAAAGACTTGACAAGTCACTGCAATTAAAATTCAGGGACAAATTAGAGTCAGAACTTCAGCATTCTGACAACTATTTTCAACTTGAAATTAAGCAGTACTGGTAATATGGACAGGGAAAACAAATGTGATGTGTGATGATACTACTGGGTATTATCAAGTCTGAACTCCTGTTTAGAAGCTTCTCTGTATTTCCACCTTCCTGGAAAATGGTGGAACAAACAAAATTACTATTAAAAAAAATATCAATGTCTTTTGCCGTGAAACCTTTTGTCCGGCTCCTACTACACACAAAAATCAAGACACATTTTAATAACCCCATTATGTATACACACTATTATATATAACCTGATATTGGTCCTCAATTAAAGCAGATCACTGTAGACAAACATACATCCAGTTGGACTTGACAACAACTTCAAAACACACAGAAACCTTACATGTTAACAAATTAAAAGGGGCAAGGGAAAATTTGCCTAGGAAACTACGGTGACAGAGCAAAGATGACGTGATTAACTGGAGAGAAACTCAGCTCAGGAATAGGAAACAGCACAGGTTTTAACAAGTTAGAGCTGATCAGGACACAGCGGGATGGGAAGAGTTCCCCTGCCTGTCTCCCTCAACAGCCTGCTTGTCTCAGCTCAACAGACTGAGAACACGGCCCTGTGAGCCGCGATTCCAGGCACCGAACCGTGCCCGAGGCCCTGGGCAGAGCCACAGCCACCCCCTCGCGGCACCCCCAAACAGGGTCTGTTTCGGGTCCTGCCCAGCCCAGCCCGAGGGCCCCGCGGAGCCCCAGCCCCGCAGGAGGGCGGTGCTGGCGGCGGGAGGCGCCGCCGGGGCGCCCCCCGGGCTGCCGGAGCGCGGCCCACCGGCAACAACCCGCCCGGCGCCATCGCCGCCCACCCCCCGCTCAACGACCGGCCCCGGGCGGGACCCCCGCGCCCCGCCGGCCCGCGCCGCGCCCACGAAGGTTCTCCGGCCGCCTCCGCTCCGTCCGGGCCGCTCCGGCCGCCTTCCCGGGCGGGCCCTCTCCCTCCCCGGGCCATTTTGAAGCCACCCCCCGGCCCCGCGCTCACCGCCCGGTTTGCTCACCGCCCGCCGCCCGCGCCCCTCCGCGTAGGTGCGCCCGCTGCCCGCGCCGAAACCCGGGCGCGTGCGCTGCCGCCGCTGCCGCCGCGCTGCCCCGGTGCCTGCCCCGCCCGCCCCTGCCGGCCCTGCCTGGCCCTGCCTGCTCAGGCCGCCATTTCCTGCCCCATTGTTTTACCCAAGAACGGCGCCGGAAGCCACCGCCCACATGCGGAAGTGCGGAGAGCGCGCCCGCGCAGGCGCGGCCCGGGGGCGCCCCCGCCCCGCCCCGCCCCGCCCCGCGCCCGGTCCTGGCCCTCAGGGGTGGCCGCCATTTTAGAGGGGGCAAAGAAGGAGGGGGTGTTACATGGGGAGGGGCTGGCACGGGCATCCCTGAGTCCCCGGACCCCCTGAGCCCTTAGACATCTCTCAGCCCACGGACCCCCTGAACCCACGGCACTCCTGAACCCATGGCACGCCCGCTCAGCCCAGGGCACCTCCTCAACCCATGGCCACCGGGGAATGGGGAGGGCAGCAGGAGGGTCCATGTCCCTACAGTCCTGCATCGTGGGGGAGTTTCATGTCTCCTCAGGTGTGTGTGTGTGTGCTGGACAGAGCTGACCCTGCTCAAGACTGATAGTGGCCAACAGTTCCAAAAAAACAAGTGAAAATTGGTAGTGCTGGTGTCTGTCACTGGGGACATTCACTCTCCTCCCCTCCAACTACGGACATGCCTTCCCTCTAACCATGAACATTCCTCTCCTGTAACCATGGACATTCCTTCCCCCTCTAACCATGGGTGTTTTTCCCCTCTAACCACTGACATTCTTTCCTTCTCTAACCATGGACATCCCTCCCCTCTACCCACGGACATTGACTCTCCTCCCCCTGTTCCCATGGAAGGATTTCCCCTCTCACCTGGTGGTGTGTGTCACAGACAGCTGGTGTGCCATATAAAAGCTGGGATATTCCTGTTTTCCTATATGAGCCATGCCAGACTTCCCACGTTCTGCAGGGTTAAATTTGTCTGCAGTTTTTCCCCCTCTCACCACTGAAACTATCAAGGGCAGGTGTGTTCCCTGCAGGATCAGCCCATCTCCCTTGTGGCATTCTGGCAGAGAAGTGAAATCAGGAATCGGTGAGACAAAGTGGAAAAAAACCCCTGTGGCTGAAAAGAAATAGTTTTGAGAGAAAACACTACAGTCTGAGTTTTGAAGCCAATGAGATTTAAGGAGAGGGAAAGGTAAAGGCTCTGTAGACTTGTCTCCCATAGAAGGATTCCCACTGAGTCTTGAGAGATCCCATTTTAATGCCTAAAAACTCTTATCATGCAAAGGCCTTGCAAAGAAGTTATCTTCATTTTCAAGCAATATCCCATACACAGGGAAAAAATATATTCCTGAGAATTTACACAGTTTCAGGAAACCCACAAGACACTTTTATTTCTCCTTTTGGCTGTTCATTATAATAGTGAGATTACTCTCAAATTGAGGGGTGTGTTGCATTTAGAAGTTGTTAACTGTTGCACAGAAACATATAAGCCCAACTTTTAATGTAAATGAAGTGGGTTTATAAATTTACAGTTTCAATTTCTCCTGTCAGACTCCAGAACTCAAAGGCAGCTGCAGTGTCCGTGCTAGAGAGGATGGTGGAGTAAAGGGCATATTTCTCACCAGTTTTACTTGCCACAGCATTGGACTAGCAAAGGAAGATTCCAAAATCATTAGTAACGGAGAGCAGAAGCGCTCCCAGTTTCCTCTGGAGCAGATGTGGGTTCCCAACTCTATTTTTGTTGAAATAACCAGTACCTAAAATGTGGGAGTTTATTACAGCTGCAGGATAGGTCATACTTGATACAGCATAGAGTTGGAGTGACAGAGAGGTGATACCTAATCCAGCATAAAACTTGCTTGCAGAAGCTTCACCTGCTATGTTTTTTAAAGCAAATTGGAGTTGGGAGAGCGAGTTTAAATCAGTTTAGTCCTTTGCATCATACAGTTAGATTTACTATAGAGTCAAACCATGACCTAACAGCTCTAGTTTGACTGTTCAATGTGAGTAAAATTTAATAAGAAAAATTAAGGAGAGAGTATTTAATGTCACAAAGTAATTTTGCAGTATTAGTGCACCAAAATATTTGTCATAGGGAAAAGTTGCCTTGTTGATTATTATTGATTGTTTAGCTAATGGAAGGTGGAGCATATTCTATGAGCAGAGGGATAAGATGATGGTTTATGCACCAGGAACAGCCTCTTGGTGTTTTATGACACCTGCCAAGTCATTTTGCTTGTCTATTTCTTTGCCCCTCAATAAAATACCTATAATTGATTAATCTTACCAAAAGTCTTGAAAATCATCAAATGGCAAAGCAACAGAGGAATAAAACATTGTTCTTTGCATGTGTGGGTGAGCTCAGACTCTCCAGGCAGAGGTTTCCCGGTTTGCTGGGACATGAACACCCCGCAAGGTGCAGAGATGGCTGCTGGATCCTGCTGATTCTCACCTTACTGAGGGGTAAAAACTTGTAGCTGAGGTCCAGGCCAGACAGTTGAGGAAAAGTCCCTCCCTTAGTGTGATTTGGTGGATTTATTCCCAAATGGCCTCACAGGTACAGAACATGCTCTGATTTTTCAAAACCACTTAGTGGATTTCAGTATCCAGTTGACATTAATAACTATTAATGACCTGTGCACCCACATCTCCTTAACAGCTTTGACGAAATTAGGAGTGGTATAGCAGCATATTTCAAAAAGCTTGTAGGGGAAAATATATTTGCATAGAGAACTTTGTGGTAGAGGGAAAAAATCCGAAAGCTATAGCAAAAGCATGGTGTAATTCCTACTTAAGTGTTTTCAATTTGCTACTGTATGTATAGTAAAAGAGAAATACAACACTTTTCCATGGTAAGTTTAATGTCGTTTCCTTCAATGAGGGTAAATAAATTTGCTTTAAATCCCTCAGGGTTTTTAAAACTGCTTATTAGGAATGCAATGATAGATGAGAAAAATGCTGGTTTGCTTTTTTTTTTCTCCTAAAAAGATATTAAAATAACTTATTCACAATATAGATAAGTAATAATCCAAATGCAGTGAGGTGAGGAAAATCTGAATCTCTTGGGAGCTTCTAAACCTGAAGCAAAAAAAATTAAAAATAAAAGACCTGCCAAACTTAGATCCTTATATACTCAAAGTAATGACAGAGTCAGGAACTAAGCAGGCAGATAAAGCCAGTTTTCACTGATGTTCCAGGCCAGAACAAACTGGGCAGTGTAAAGGCAGGAATTCTGACTATCTCCACACTACCTGGGGTTAAAGCTGGGCTGCTGTTTATTTTTTAAGTTGAATTTGTTTTTCTGTAGCTTCCTGAGGAAAGTTACATACAAGGAGTGTGATAAATGCAGGATGTGTGAGGTTCTGTGGGATATGCTGGGAAAATGCACTGGAAAACAAATTCCTCAGGCTGCAGGTCACTGCTGCAGGTAACAAAAGAGACAAAATATTCAGGGTTTTAACACACAAGCGGCTCTTTCAGGGGTAAAATCCATTTCCACTTTCGCTGGAGGGATCTGTAGGATGGATCTGTTCCTGCATTGTGGAAAAGGCCCAAAGGATTTCTCTCATGATGTTTACTTAGGGGCTGTTTCACCCACAAAATTCAGGCTATAGAAGATTGAGTAGTTGAAGCAGAGTGTGGCAGTTTAACAACCCCAACATGGAGATGCTTGGCTGTGTAACCAGAGTGCTTTGTACCTGATCCCTGTTCAGGCCAGAACTCACCTAAGTCAAGTATTTCCCCCTTTGGCCAGAAAGGTTCCCAAACATGCCCTTGACAACTCAACAATAATAAAACATAGAAGAAACTTCTTGTAATGTCATAGAGTCACATCCAGTTGTTCTGAGATTGTCAGTCTGTTCCAAAATACTTCTGTCCAAAGTATGTTGGTGCAACAGGATGCACTTCTGTAGTTAAAATGGTGATTTCTGGGAATTCCTGGATGATTGATTTGGTACCTTTTAAGAGACACCAAAGGTCTCAATGTGCCATAAGTGTAGAGAACAGGCTGAGCAGGATCATGACACCTTGTTGTACATCATATTCTGCAGGCACTTTGGCATCCTCAATGACAGTGTTACCAGTACCTGGTAACAAATTTTATTTTTCCCCCGTGGTTGGCAAACTAGTCCTTGGCCATCCAAGAATATCTCTGTGTGATTGAATGATGGTTCTGTCCTTTCTTCCTGGAAAACTCTCACCTCTGCTTGTATCAGTTGTGGAAAACTTGTCTCCTATTGAAGGAGCTTCACCTCTATTCTGAAAAAGCCAACTCCACCAGGTTTTAAACATATAAGTTGGTGGATTTTATTAAAACCACGAGGCAAGAAAGCTCATCTAAAATAGTCAAACGGAAATCAAAAGCTCCATGGGTATAAGAGAAAGAAATCTTAGACTGGAAATGTTACCTCATCCCAACAAACTCCTTACCAGATTAATTTTTTTTTTTTGTTAGCATTAACTTAGTTTAATTTTAAAGTAGTTTACTTCTAGTTTTATAATACTAATCCAAAAATGGTTTTTAATAGCATGAGAAAAATACTGTTTGAATCTTGTCTCATGGCAAAATTTAAAAAAAATCAATTTATACCAAGTCTTAATCTTCAGCCTTTCTCCCAAACACCGCCATGGCCAAAGGATTTGCTTTGCATTCCCACTGGTGCAGCTGACTGATGTGTGTCCTGGCACAGCCTGATAATTCCCTGCTCTGTCACCTAAACCAAGCAGAAAACCTCATCCAAGCCCCTGAAATTTGGAGGGTTTCCTTTCATTCAGGCCCTCCCCGTTCCGAGGAGTCTGACTGTCCATAAAGGTGGCAGACACTCACTCAGGATTGGGTACATCAGCAGCACTTTCCTCCTGTAGATGTCTGGAGGGAACTTGGCGTAGTACACCTTGGCTCGCTGGGTCTCCTCGTCGCTCTGGATCAGGATCTTCCCAATGCGGATGGACCGGCAGCAGTCCCGGAGGCCTTGTTCCATGGCCTCTCCTGCAGGGAGAGCACAGGCCCCAACAGCAAAGGGTTACAGGCTGAGAAACAGCCCCACTGCAGGGCCAGGGACAGTCCCACCACTGCTGAAACAGCCCCGCTGCAGGGCCAGGGACAGTCCCACCACTGCTGAAACAGCCCCACTGCAGGGACAGGGACAGTCCCACCACTGCTGAAACAGCCCTGCTGCAGGGCCAGGGACAGTCCCACCACTGCTGAAACAGCCCCACTGCAGGGCCAGGGACAGTCCCTCCTCTGCTTCTCTGGGAACAGTTCTAAAGGGAGATTGTTTGTCCTCAGTTCTAAGAACACTTGAAGTTCTTTTCCTTTTTTCTGTGCTGAGACAGAAAACTGAATCTCCTCGGTGTTCCTGACCCCCTGGGTGTTGGTGTTCCTGACCCCCTGGGTGTTGGTGTTCCTGAGGTGCTGGTGTTCCTGAGCCCTGGGTGTTGGTGTTCCCGAGGTGTTGGTGTTCCTGAGCTCTGGGTGTTGGTGTTCCCGAGCCCCTGGCTGTTGTTCCCACAAGCAGTGCTGAGCTCTCAGAGGGCAGAGCTGGCAGTGGCAGAACCAGCGTGTGGGGTTTGGGGAACATCCGTGAGCTCTGCCTGGAGCCCCCCCGGTGCAGAGTGTGGGGCAGGAGCTGTGGGGCCAATGGATTTGACAGCACAGATCCCAAGGTTTGCACAGCACTGGGAAATAACTCTGCCACCACAGGGCGTGGCTGGAGTGGGGCCCTGGCTCTGGGCAGGAGTGGGCAGTGGGAACCAGGGGAGGGCAGTTGGCCCCTCACAGGGAGGAGAAGAGGCCAGAGGAAATCTGTTGCAGCCATTTGTTGCCTAAAATGTTAATGAAAGATACTTCTGGACATTTGTGATCAAGGATATCTCAGAACAAATAACAACTAGTAATAAATTCTAATAAATAATGGGTTAATAAGTCATTTAAGGAGATACTGTAATAGTAAGAAAAGTAGGCTTTGTCAGGTTAGCCAGATATTTTTCTTAATGTCATAGTTTACGTGATCTTGTCTTACATCATTCCTCTTTCTCAATCAAAATATGGTGAAAGTCAATATGGCAAATATTAATTAGACTGAAAACTAACTGATAGGTCTCCAAGGGTAATTATAAGCAGAAGCACCATGGAACTCGGCTCCCTTCCTGTGGGATCTTGATCCCACACACTTAATGTCTGATCACTGACCTGCAAGCAAATGCCAAATCATTATTGGTGATCTGCAGCTGCACAGAAGTTGGGGCAGGTCGCTGATACCAAACCTAATCTAGATCATGTAATGAGCTGAGCTTAAATAAACAACATGTTTTTCAATACCACCAGATGTAAAGTCATTAGCCTAAGAAGAGTGCAGCAGCTGGACTAAGGGATGGGTGACAAAGTCATGGAAAACAGTGACTCAGAAGAGGAATAATCAGCTGAAGATGAGCTCCTAATGAGATGCTCTGCCAAGAGTAACTGAAAAGGGAGGTACCAAGGAAGACAAGGGTCTATGGGCTTCAGGAAAACTTCTCTGAGGGCTTGAAAACACACCTTAGTGAGAAAAAACCCAAGGAACACCATTTACTAAGAAATAAAAGGTGAAGGGACATTTGAAATGCAGCCTCTAGGAAGGCACATGGCAGAGTTAACACTAAAGGGGGGTGAGGCCCTGGCAGAGGTTGACCCATCCCTGGAAGTGTTCAAGGCTGGATGGGGCTTGGAGCAACCTGGTCTGGTGGAAGGTGTTCCTGCCTATGGCAGGGAGTGGAATGAGATAATTTTTAAGGTCCCTGCCAACCCAAACCAGTCTGGGATTCTATGATTTATCTGGTGAAGTGGTGTTTGGTAGTTGGACATCAATCTGGGTTGCTGGATATTTTAGGAATGGGGAAAGCTGTCCATTGAAACAATCCACCCACAACTGGCCAACTGTGGCAGTTCCTGTCACTGAAGAATTACTGGAAATACTTAATGAGATAGTTTTTTTCCAAAGGAAGCACTCTAGTTTGAACAAGAATTAATTCAGAGGAATCTGGCAGCCTTCATTAGGCAGGAATTGGGAGCAGGTTATTAGAACAGCTCCTGCTAGATTTGTTCAGAATAAATACAGAAACCCTGTGGCTGCAGGCAGGGCCAAAGGGAGGGGTGAACCAGGCACAGCCTCCCTGGCTGTGATGCCTGTGTGCTCCCAGGTGGGTGAAAAGGCTGTTTTCACCTAAACTCTACTCCCTTCTCAGGCTCAGGCCGTATTCAACCCTTTTCTTGCATTATGAACATTATCAGTGTGAGTCACGGCTGCCCTCAGCAGCACCATTCTCAGGGCAATCAGCCTTTGCAAAACAACAGCTACCAAAACATGCCTCTGACAGTTTATTGCTGTGCCTTTTGCCTTAACTCCATGCTGGAAGAGCAGGATTAACCATTGGGAAACTTACACACGCTACAAAGTGAGAATACAACTGAGCACCGTCAGCTTTATTGCTATCCCTTGGCATTTTGAAAGTATCAGGTGCCCACCAGGTCTTGGTTGTTGTTTAGGAGAAGGAAGGTCTCTGGGCAGCCTTTATCCTTTCATTCATTTGTGTGGAGAAACCAGAATGCAGGTGTTAAGAATCAAAATCCTTAGGAGAAAAATGCGAGGAAGAAAAAGTGGGAAACACAGGCTGGGGCTGGAGGAAGAGGAATATTTCCAAGATTTTTTGCTGTTCAGTGTTAATGGTCACCCTCTTACATCCAGAACACAGTTGTGATGGTCACTTACCAATCCTTATCTCGGAGCATGATTTCTATGTCCCCTGTGCAGCCTGAGCTGTGTCAGGGCCTGGGCATTGCTGCCTGCTTAATCACAGTGCTGGCAGGGGGGACCCACAGTGCCTTCTGCATATTCTTTTTTGCAGCTGTTTCAACGGCAAATGCTAATTCCTCTCTCAATGTTTTGCTCTTTCTGGGAATTTAAAAATAACTTGCCTAATGAAGCAGTGCTGAGCAGCTCATATGTCCAGACAGATAGGAGTGAAATGCTTCAGTTCAGAAAGCAAAGTCGTCCGTGGTGGCAGTGCCTTTGAATAAGTCCCCCAAGGCCCTTTTTCAAATAATCCCAGGACTGGCTGAAATTAATGCGGGAAGAAATTCAGAGAAGGGAGGGAGAATCACGTCAAAGAGCCTGGGACTAGGGAAGACATTTCTGGGTGAGCTGTAATCAGGCCCATCCTATGATATCCCTTTAGCAGTGCAATTTAATTGCTCCTTTTCGGACAGGGTTTGATGTATGAGTTCTATAGCAGGGACATCCAAGAACATGAAAGAAAAACGTGGCACTTACTGAAGGCTTTGCAAAGATCAGTGAAGCTCCTTGTCCCTTGTTGGAGCAGCTGAAAGCTGAGCACAGAGTGGCAAAACTGCCTGTCCAAGGGCAGCCACAGTTTTCAGTCTCTCCCTCCAAACACCTTGTTTTGTTACTCACCTTCGGTTTTCTGTCTTCTGTACCTGGAGATCACCATCCTCGTTTAAGCTGACCCTGCAGTGGGCACATCCACCTTCCCCAGCCCGGACATGTGAGAGCCGTGAGGGGTGAACACGCAACAGGAGCTGTAGGCATGGTTACAAAATGAGCTGGGCATGATATGCTGGGAAGCAAACTTGCTATGGAAATGCAGGCATGGCAGACAGAGAGATACTTGGCTTCTTCTTCTGGGCCCAGGCTGGAGTCAGAAAGCCTTCCCTGCCCACTTCTAGCCACCTTAGCCTCTTGCACTGATTTGCAACATTATTGTTTTCTTGTTCTTTAGAATTAAATAATTTACCTTGAGGTTTCAGACTTACTTCTGTGGGTGCCATAATATTTAGCAGAGTGTAAATGCTACTCTTACTAATATTTCAATGATAAAACCCTTCCCCCCCCCCAGCTAGATGAATGATTATTACATTCTTCAAATCAATTCTAATTTTTTTTAATTGCTTCTGATGCCCTTGGCACTGTTGAGTGACAGGGTCTGCTCTCCAGCCTCGGAGGCTACAGGAGAAGAGATTATTGATCCTAAAAGGTTGGTGATTTTATTTGGGGCAAAGAGGATGAGGGAAGCATCAGTTTGCCAGGCAGAGACTCGTGGTACTACCTATGATAACCCTACAAAGACCCTAAGATCTATATCATATACAGCTTGTCCATATATTTTTATTAAATTGTTCTTAGGAGATGCCAGCTCTAGAGTGCAACTCACCATACCCTTGAGTCTTGCATCAAAAATGCCCTTCTGCAAAAGGATGAAATGAAGCCAGAACACAAGGATCATGTGTTACTTTATCTCTGTGCTCATGTCAGGGAAGTGGAGGACTTCTACCACTGGGATATGACTGCTAAAATCAGGAGCTTCTCTCCCTCTGTGTAGAATAATGAATTTCATCATCATCCTTCATCCATCATATGTTATCCTTCATCCATCAAACAAGAACGGGGCCTGTGTGATGTCCAGAATAGAGCAGGCAATGGCACATTTCCCTTTTTGAACTGTAATCTTAACCTGGTTCATAACTATAGCCCTAAAAGAAAACTCGTGATTGCTCCTTGCCTGACAACACAGGTGCTGTTCTCCATAACCAACATGAGCCTCCATGTCAGCATGTTTCCTGTGGGATAGCATCCATCCATCTCATCAGGTTTCCTATGGGATAGCATCCATCCATCTCATCAGGTTTCCTGTGGGATAGCATCCATCCATGTTTCCTATGGGATAGTAGACTTCACAGACTTGGCAATAATTGAGAGATCTGCACCTTTCTGTTCTCAAATCCATCCCTAACTTTAAACAACCTTGGCCAAAGCCTTACAGTGACTGTCTCACAACAGGAGCTCCTTGGGCTTTTCAGATTCAGTAAGAAAACTGACTCTTCAACCCTTGGTTTCAATAATCCTCGTGTCAGAACTCCAACAGAGACTGGAAGCATCACAGAGGGGTCATGACAAGCACCCACCTTCAAACAGAGCCAGGTCCAAATCCTGGGTGCCCAGGATCCAGCGTGTAGCCAGAGGCAGACTGTGTCCTAAAGTGATTTGGGATGATGCTAAATCCCTGACATAGCTCCAACTACTGCTGGACAGATTCCCTCACTGAACATGCCAGGGGCTCTTTTCAAAATGAAACATCTGAAATAGCGTCCACAGCCAACGCCGGCATTTTGCTTCTCTCCGATGGGAGATGAAGGAGGGATAAACTCCTTGAAAATAATCCTCATGGTGTTAAATAACGTGATTAAGCAGGCTGCCTAATTCTCCTCGGTTTTAAACCATCCTCTTTATCCCTGGTTTCAGCTCTGCCCCCTCACTGCCCTGGCCTGAGCACTCTGCTCTGCTGCAGCTCAGGGCTGCCTTGACATAGCCCTGTTTTAGCAGCTGCCTGCTGTAAAAATGCGCCCTTATCTCTCAGCCTGCAGTTTATGCTCAGTCTCTTTATTTCCCTTCATGTAATCATCAGACATTTCTGCGTTTCATCGTGATAAATACCAGACTGTTGAATCTCTGGAGCTGCCAAGAAATGCATCTTGGCATAGCACAAATAGAGCTGCTATTTTTTTTTCATTCCTTCCTTTAGTTTAACATTTATCCCTGCTATTGTTGTCCTTAGAAGGATAAATAGGGCTGCATCTTGCTAGCCAGTTGCTCCAAATACATTAGATTAAAGAACAAATAACATGATAACCAAAGGCTATGAAGACTATATTAATATATTATATTGAGATAGTCAAGCAAAGATGTGATAATGTGCTATTCATTATACAGGTGCGCCAGTGCTCACTGCAGGATAAAATTAGATTGGCTCATCTGTAGGTCATGTACCTTATACAGCTCAGAACCGGCAGAGATTTTCTTCTCTCTGCACTGGTAGTGCACTGAAACAGGAGCCCATCAGTGCCAGCCCTGCCCTCCACACTGAGGTTCCTGTGGTCACAGTGTAAGGCACAAAGGGTCCTGCTCATCTCAGCTTTGGTACCTGCTCATCTCAGCTCAAGGCATCTTTGCTATTTCCACTTTTTAGATGCCACAGGTTTCTCTTTCCCCCACTCTCAGAGAAGATGGAAGATGGGCAGTGTGCAAAAAGATAAGAAACACATGGCACCTGTTGGACAGGCTGGTGTGTCAGGCACTGCCCAGGTTATTGGCTCTGGACCATCAGCTGAAGGTCTGTTCAGTGATGCTGAGTGACTGAGGGGGTGATGCCTTGAGTGGCAAAACCAGCTCACAGGAACCATAGCTGACAGACTGAATAACAGTGTAGGCCCTTCCCTTCCCTTCCCTTCCCTTCCCTTCCCTTCCCTTCCCTTCCCTTCCCTTCCC